CTCGGGGCATTGCTGGGGCTCCTCTGGCCCCGCTCCAGCAGGTCCCTGGCTCTGCTGTGCTGAGGACTCCAGAGCTGCCCCAGCACTGCAGGGGGGTCTCCCAGAGCTGGCAGAGGGGCAGGATCCCCTCCCTGCCCTGCTGCCCACGCTGCTGGGGGGGCAGCCCAGGCTGGGGGGGCTCCTGCCCAGCCCCGCACCCCCAGGGCTACATCCAGACGTGTGTGACCCCCGTGCTCTGTGTAGGAGCCTCGTGCCTGACAGTGCTGTTTGCCTCCTCCTTTGCAGAGCCTTGGCTTGGTGGACAAGAACAACAACCCCCTCAGCCACGCAATGTACAACATGACTTCTCTGCGGGAGCTGGGTGAGAACCAGAGGAAGCCCTGTCACATCAAGGTGCCCGAGGCCACCCTGCGCAAGATCGAGAACTACCTGAATCATGTAAGGCTTGCTCAGCAGCCTGGGAGCCAACACTCACCTTCAGGAGTTGGACCTGGCTTGAAACCTTCACGTTAAAACACTGAGGGAATTCGTGGCTTGATAGTTTGCCACAAAAACTGATCAGTCCCTTTGGGGAAGGGAGCCCCTTCTTGGGCAGCAGGACCTCTCTGTGTCCATCTGTGATGTTTCTCTGTGGTTTTTGGCTTCTGGGCTGTCAGGCAGTGCAGTTGTTGTGCATTTAGCCCTCCTTGTAGCTCATGAATGCTGCCACGTGCAGGTGCTGGTTCCGTGCAGCTCTGGCTGTGCCTTGCAGCTTTATGAGGTCCAGTGGCTGGTACAGGGGGTGTCTCACAGTATTCTACATGAGTGGTGGGTGCAGGTTCCCAGGCGCCCTGTGGTGCTTCCACCCAGGAGATCCCTCTTCCTGGTGGACCAGAGGAGGGGCTGATACCCAGAGGAGCTGAACAGTGCTGGGACAGGGTTCCTTGGGAGCACTCCCTGTCACAGCAGGAGTTAGTGCTCAGGTTAGGGGAGGTGGAGCAAGCTCAGCTATAAATGTGTGTAGTTCATTGAGGTCAGGAAAGTCAAGACTGTGCCTAAGAGCAGCCACTCCTGAATGACCTTCTGTGACTGAACTGTGGGCTAGAAAACACAGAAAAACAACAGCATGTTGAAGGCCCTTGGTGTGCCTGCCACACTCACGTGGCTGAGAGCTGTCACACCATGCTGGAAGGTCACAGCTCTGTGGCTCTGAGTGAGGCTCAGTCCCAAAGTACTGATCTGTAGCTGAACTTTCCATCCTGCCAACATCTGGCCAGTGCTTTGATCTGCGTTCTAGACAATTTCTGACCTATTGTGGCTCCTTTTGGTTCTTCCTGTGGGTTGTAGGACTTGTGTTTTTTCTTTTGCCAAGATGGAATGTTTCTGCTTAGCTGAACACTTGTGTCTTGGTCAAGTTACATGTCTGGGCTTCCTGAGGGAGAGAAGGGTGGTGTTGTAACTTGAGAGCTTCCCAAAGTCGTCTCAGGGGGGGCTGTTGCATCACTTGCATGCAGAGTAGCCACTGACTGGGAGAGTTTAAATCACTGTTTGTGCCTGTCAGCTCGGGTGTCAGCACTGATGGCCCTGTTGAAGTAAGGGATGTGGTGGGGACAAGGCAGGGCAGGGGGAGCCTGAGTTAATTCTCACTGTAACTAGCCTCAGTTCAGCACAGAAGTGGCCGAGTTACCTAAAATCTGAAGAGACTTTGGCGGAGCGTCGCGGTCACGGCAAAGCCAGGCTGGCTGAGCCTGCTCCAGGCTCTGCTCTCCAGCCCTCTTGGCACCATAGAATCATAGGGGTTGGAAGGGACCTCGAAAGATCATCTAGTCCAACCCCCCTGCCAGAGCAGGACCACCCAGAGTACATCACACAGGAAGGCGTCCAGGCGGGTTTTGAATGACTCCAGTGAAGGAGACTCCACAACCTCTCTGGGCAGCCTGTTCCAGTGCTCCGGCACCCTCACAGGGAAAAAATTTTTCCTGATATTCACCTTGAACCTCCTATGCTCCAATTTGCACCCATTACCCCTTGTCCTATCATAGGTCATCACTGAAAAAAGCTTAATTCCATCTTCCTACACTCACATCAATGTAAACATTGATGAGGTCACCCCTCAGTCTCCTTTTCTCCAGGCTAAAGAGACCCAGCTCCCTCAGCCTTTCCTCATAAGGGAGATGCTCCACTCCCCTCATCATCTTTGTAGCCCTACGCTGGACTCTCTCCAGCAGCTCCCTGTCCAGTACTAACCCTCTTCTCCCTGCCACTTCCTCCACCTCTGCCAGTACCCGGTGGACATCAGGGAGTCCAGGCCCCGGATCGCCGACGACATGATGAACCTGAGCAAGGAGTCGGGCGCCATCAGCGACGCGATCACGGGCAAGACGTACATCCCCATGCTGGAGGCGGAGGAGGTGCGCCTGAGCCAGAACCTGCTGGCCCTCTGGAAGAGGAGAGGAGCCTCCTGGCAGGAGAGCCACCCGCTGCCGGTGGATCCCCACAAGGACACCATCCTGTCGGCCATCGAGCAGAACCCCGTGGTGGTGATAGCGGGAGACACGGGCTGCGGGAAGACCACGAGGATCCCCCAGCTCCTGCTGGAGCACTACATCCTGGAGGGGCGCGGCGCCCGCTGCAACGTGGTGATCACCCAGCCCAGGCGGATCAGCGCCATCTCGGTGGCCCAGCGCGTGGCGCAGGAGCTGGGGCCCAACATGAGGAAGAACGTGGGCTACCAGGTGCGGCTGGAGAGCAAGCCGCCCGCCAGGGGAGGAGCTCTGCTCTTCTGCACCGTGGGCATCCTGCTGAGGAAGCTGCAGGGCAACCCCAGCCTGGAGGGCGTCAGCCACGTCGTGGTCGACGAGGTGCACGAGCGGGACGTCAACACGGATTTCCTGCTCATCCTGCTGAAGGGCATCCAGAAGCTGAACCCTGACCTGCGCCTCGTCCTCATGAGCGCCACGGGAGACAACCAGCGCTTCTCACACTACTTTGGGGACTGCCCTGTGGTGAAGGTGCCGGGGTTCATGTACCCGGTGAAGGAGTACTACCTGGAGGAGATCCTGGCCAAGCTGGGCCGGCACCGACACCGGCACTACGAGATCAAGGTGGGTGCTGAGGCTGGTTCCTGTGGGTGAGGTGCTGACTCCTGGCCTAGCAGCAGGGGAGGGTTTGGCTTGCAGCGCTTCCCTCTGGCTGTTGGACAGTGTTTGTTTAGCTTTAGCTCCACAGCAACCCTCGGGAGGTAAAGTCAGCTTAGGAGAAACCAAGAGTATTTTAAGTTATGGATTAAGATGATTTCACATTTGGGTCTAGGTGTCTTCTGTCCCTCATTAATGTGAAGCTTGTTTGTGTAAGCTAACAGCTCACTGGAGTTGTGTCTGTCTCTGTGTAGACACAGACTCAAATCTTTGCATACTCTGTGCAAGCCTGGTGCAGGACTAGGAGGGTCACGGCCTGGAGCAGTCTGTTACCCAAGTGCTCACCATCCCACATGACTGACTTCCCTGGGTTTTGCAGCTAGTCTCACTGTTCCTCTGGAAAATGCCCTCCAGACATGTACTCCTGGCCGTGGGTAATCCTCCTTCAAGCTGTGGGTCATGGAGTCACAGAATCATTGAGGTTGGCCAGGGCTTCTGGGTGTTTTCTAGCCCAGCAGGTTGGGCTAGAAGCTCTCAGCCCGTTTCCAGGCTGAAGACGACCCTCCCTGTGGCTGAGCAACCAGCTGGTGTATCAGCCACTTCTCCTGGGTTGCTGTCATCAGCAGACTCCCTGAGGGGGTCCCATTGCCCTGGGGGCAGTCACCCCATTTCTCTTGTGGCGGGGATGTTACCTGCACTTTTAAACTGGCCTGATTGGTGTGCTCCAAGCTGCTGAGGTACACAAAAGCTGCTGCTCTGTGCCTGGTGGCTTTGAAGTCCATGTTGCCTATAGCACTGTTTCATCCTCAAAAATGTGCTGTTCATTTTTGTCACTTGCTACTTGGTGCTGTTCAGTGGAGGAACACAAATCTCAGCTTCCAAGTCTGGAGGGTGGGGAGGGGACTGTGTAATCTCCCTGCTCAGCAGAGGAGACTGGCAGCAGTTGTGACCAGAGCAGGTTCTGGGTGGAGCCAGACCCAGGCTCTGGAGGTTCCTGGCTCCTGGTCCTGGGCAGGCTGCCCAAGGAGAGGAGGCTGCTCCCTGCAGAGGATGCTCTGGCAGGTGTTCTGATCCCCACGTCCCCTCCTGTCTTATCCAGCAATCAGATGATGAATGTGTCCTTGATCTTGACCTGATCACTGACCTTGTACTCCAGATTGATGCCCACGGAGAACCAGGTAGGTTCTGCTTGTCCCTGTGCTCTTTCCTTTACCTCTGGGGGAGGGAAGTGAATGTGCAGAGCCTGGACCCTTTGCAGAGAAAACAGGGTGCTGAGCTGACTCCTGTGAGGCTGTAGTGGAATCCTGTTGAAGTGAGTGGTCCTGAGCAGTGGGACAGGAGCTAGTTCTGAGTCTGAGAGAACAGCCAAGGCCTCAGTGTCTGGGTCATAGTGTCCCAGGATGGAGCTGTTCCTGGTGGGGAGGAGGTGAGACTTGTGTGCTCCAGCACTTGGAACACTACTGCACTGTTCAGTTATTCTTCTGTATGGGGGAGTATCTCTGTGTTACAGTAAGTGTGGGGCAGGTTTCCTCAGGGGTCAGCTGCCAGGGCACCCCACAGACCCAGGCCCTGCTTTCCTTAAAGGCTAAAGGTTCCTGTGGGCCTGGGGAAGTGGTGGGTGTCCTTCAGGGCAGCAGAAGCTGGAGAAAAAGCCTTCTGATTTCCAGGCCTGTTGTTGTTAACCCTGGCTGTTAACCCTTCAGGTGGGATCCTCTGCTTCCTCCCTGGCTGGCAGGAGATCAAGGGGGTGCAGCAGCGCCTGCTGGAGACACTCGGCTCTCAGAACAGCCGGTACCTCGTCTTGCCAGGTGAGGTGCAGCACCAGAGCCCCAAACCCCCATCCCCAGCACTCAGGGGAGTGGTGGGCCAAGTGATGGACAGGGACCTGTGAGTCCTGGTGGAGAGGTTGCCCATGAGGCAGCTATGGGCCCTTGTGGCCAAGGACAAAGGTCTTCTGGGCTGCATTCAGAAGTGTGGGCAGCAGGTCCAGGGGGGTTCTCCTGCCCCTCTGCTCTGCCCCAGTGAAGCCACCTCAGGAGTACTGGTTCCAGTGCTGGGCTCCCCAGTTCAACAGACACCAGGAGCTACTGGAGAGAGTCCAGCAGAGGCTGTGGAGCTGCTGAGGGGCTGGAGCATCTCTGTGCCAGGCCAGGCTGAGAGCCCTGGGGCTGCTGAGCTGGAGAGGAGAAGCCTCAGAGGGGATCTGAGCAGTGCTGAGCAAGAGCTAAAGGGCCCCGGGGGGCAAGAGGCTGGGGCCAGACTCTGGTCAGTGGTGCCCAGCGACAGGACAAGGGGCAACGGGCACCAACTGGAACCCAGGAGGTGCCACCTGAGCAGGAGGAGAAACTTGTTTGGGGTGAGGGTGCAGAGCCTGGAGCAGCTGCCCAGAGAGGCTGTGGAGTCTCCTGCTCTGGAGAGATTCCAAACCCAGCTGGATGCAGTTTTGGGCATGTGCTGGATGACCTGCTGGACATCTGGATGACCAGCACACCTGCTGGGTGAGCTGCTGGAGCAGAGGGTTGGAGGAGATGATCTCCAGAGGTCCCATCCAGCCCTCACCATGCTGGGATTCTGGGACTCGGCTGTTGCTCTGATGCAGAGTGAAGCTGTGTGCTCTGCTGTACATACCTGCTGTGTAACTGTGCATGCTCAGCAGAAAGAACTCCTCCTAGCAGAGGTGTCCAAACATATGTGATCAGAGAAACGGCTCCTGTTTGCCTCCAGCAGTTCAGCACTGGGGGAGAAGGCAGCTGCTGAGCTCTGCCTCACTGCACGCTGAGCCCATGGAGATCTTCAGCCCTCCCCTGTGGGATGGGGCTGTACTCTGCAGCTCAGCTTTCACACAGGAATTCAATGTTCTCTGTCACAGGAAGGCAATTTGTAACAAAAACCACTCTTGCTCTGCCAGGCTTTAAGATTTTTTGGGGGGTTTGGTTTGTTTGGGGGTTCTTGGTTTGGTTTTTAACAGTCATCCCTATTCAGTGTCAAATAAAGCCAACCTGGAGCACATCTATAAGCAGCTTGGTTGCTAAAAATGCAGGTGTTCTCTTGTGAAAACAAAGCTACGTGTTCATGGAACCACAGGATGTTTTGGGTTGGAAGGGACCTGTAATAGGACACGTGATGTAGAAGAGTTACAGGCCCTTGCTGATGACCATTTTTGACCAAGTGAAGCCCAGTGACAATGGGGATGTCCCATTCCCCTGCCCTGTGGAGCCATGAGCCTCTCTGGGACAGGAGGGGATCAAAGCTCCTGATGTGGAGCCGTAGGCTGAAGCAGCTGAAGTGAGGCCTTCCCATGACATGGGGAAGATCTTTCCTGGGGTCTGGCTGGCAGGAAACTGCTGGCAGTAAACATTTACAGGCAGTGTCCCTATGTCTGCCTCCCACTTCTGGAAGCAGGAGGTGATGGTAGAAGAAGGCTGAGAATCTCTGCCCACCTTGGCCTCAACAAGCTCAGCGAGGCAGGACTGACTCTGGTTTTTGTCTCCTAGTGCACTCCAACATCCCCATGATGGACCAGCAAAACATCTTTCAGAGGCCTCCACCTGGTGTCAGGAAGATTGTCCTGGCCACCAACATCGCCGAGACCTCCATCACCATCAATGACATCGTCCACGTGGTGGACAGTGGCACGCACAAGGAGGAGCGCTACGATCTGAAGACCAAGGTACTGATGCACCCTCAGCCCTGGGTGTGTTGGGGACACAGTGGAGCCAGTGGAGGCTTTCAGAACCACACTCCAGATGCTGTCAATGGGGTGGTAGAGCTGCTTCCTGCTTGGCCCCTGGGGTGCTGGTGCCACGTCCCCTTTGGGGACAGTGTTGGACTCGTCGTTCAGCGAGTGTTTGCCTTCACCAGGCTCCACAGGGACTTCTGCTGAGCAGGGAGAAGTCTGGTGTCCTCAAAGACACACAAGGCAAATCCTGCTCCCTTCCCATCTCTGTGTCACACCATCAGTAGCTTTGCCATTTTTTGGTGATGTCATGCTCTCTAGCCCAAGCAGCTCTGGCCTGTTCATTACTGCTCCTGTTTGAAGCTGCCTTCACCCCAGGGCCTTAGCTCCTTGGTCAGCTTTGGGAGGGGGTTATGCTGCTCTCAGGTCCCATTTCCAGTGGTGCTGGGCCAGGTGAAGGCTTGTGTGGATGCTTCCATAACTCAATGAAGGCAGCTGTGCCACTGTTGCCCTTGGCAGAAGGGGTTCTGGGGAGCAGGGTGGTGTGGAGCCAAGGCAGGTGTCCAGCAGATGGCATCAGGGTCTCATCCAGACACTGAGCAGCTCAGGCTGCCTGCTAGAGACTGGCACTGCCACGGGGGAGCAGGGATGGCACCCTGGCCCTGCAGCAGTATGGGTGTCAGTCATGAGGAGACTCCTAGATGGAAAGCAACAGCAACCTGACCTGGATCAGCACTAGTGTGGCCAGCAGGAGCAGGGCAGGGGACATGACCCTGGGCTGGGCACTGGGGAGGCCAACCCTCGAATGCTGGGGTCAGTTTTGAGCCCCGCCCTCCCAGAAGGACCTGGAGGGGCTGGAGCGTGGCCAGAGAAGGGCAACGAAGCTGGGGAAGGGTCTAGAGGCCAAGTGTGGGGAGGAGCAGCTGAGGGAGCTGGGGGTGCTGAGCCTGGAGCAGAGGAGGCTCAGGGGAGACCTTCAGGGTGCCCCTGAGGAACAAGTTCTTGCCCTGGAGGGTTGCCCAGGGCTGTGCCAGGCTGCCCAGGGCAGTGGTGGAGTCCCCACCCCTGGAGGGGTTCCCAAGCTGTGGAGATGTGGGGTGAGGGACACAGGGCAGTGGGGACCTGGCCGTGCTGGGGGAGGGTTCGGCTCCATGACCTGAAAGTTCTCTTCCAACCCAGACCATGATCTGCTTGTGTTTCGAGAGGACAGAGGGCAATGAGAGCTTTCACACCTGCTGCTCCTCCTCCTAGGTGTCGTGCCTGGAGACGGTGTGGGTGTCCAAGTCTAACGTGGTGCAGAGGCGCGGGCGCGCCGGGCGCTGCCAGTCGGGGTTTGCCTATCACCTCTTCCCTCGCAGCCGCCTGGACAAGATGCCCACGTACCAGGTCCCGGAGATCCTGCGCACCCCCCTGGAGAACCTGGTGGTGCAGGCCAAGATCCACATGCCAGAGAAAACGGTGAGCGGGGGGCGTGCCCGCGGGACGGAGGCGCCGCCAGGGCCCACGGGCGGGCACAGTCCCAGCCCCAGCGACTTGGGGTTTCTGCCCTCCTGAGCACAGTGTGCCTGGGGAGGTTAGGAGCAGGAAATGTGTGTAGATTGTGTAGATGACAGTGTGTCCTCTGGCACACATGGAAGAGTGGAGAGGGCTGAGCTCACCTCCCTGCAGGCAAACGGGGAGGGAGATGTGGTGCACACCGGGGCCCTGGGGCAGGATGGGGGGGGTCCCAAGGGCTCTCCCCCGCCCCTGCCTGGGAAACATGGAAAACGTGCCCTTTTCTTCCCCTCTTCCCTTCCTCTCCCCTCACTGTTGCAGGCGGTTGAATTCCTTTCCAAGGCTCTGGACAGCCCTGACATCAAGGCTGTGGATGAGGCTGTGATCTTGCTGCAGGAGATTGGTGAGTGACACTGTGTCCTGCTGTGGGGCCGATGGAAACGTGTTTGCTGGCTGGATGTGGGAAGAGGGGCTGGCACAGACTGAGCAGGGTTGTCCCTAGGCAGGGGTGGCAGCTGATGGGGACTTCCCAAACCACACTCGTGTTGCTGTTTTACTTCCCACGCTGCTTTCCTCAAGACGTGGGGAGATTGTCCCGAGCTTTAAACAAAAAGAAGAGGTGACAGAGAAAGAAGGGAGGTTGTGATCTGGAGTTCATAGCTGAGGTCTCACCGACTGTCCTCTGGCTGTTAGAGCCTTTTCTTTCGGCTCGGGTCAGTTGGACCTGGGGGGTTCTGGGTGCTTGCTGCAGGCAGCTGTGCCTCTGCTGGAGGTTAGGCCAGCCCTCCCCAGCCCGCTGGGCAGGTTCTCCTGGCAGCTCCACGTCCCCACGGGGAGCTGAGGGACGCGCCCCCGCGGGCGGCTCTGTGGCA